ATGGTATTGCATTATGGTTTTAATTCAATTGCCTTCATGAATAATGATGTTGAACATCTTTTCATTTACTTGTTGGCCATTTGAATGTACTTTTGTGAAGGAATTGTGCAAGTGCTTTAACCATTTCTAATTGGGTTGTGTTTTTGTTATTAAGTTGCAGTTCTTCATATATTCATACTACAAAACCTTTGTCAGATATATGTTTTCATTGCTTGCCTATTTTGAGGCTTGCTTTGATGAACAGAAGTCTTAACTTTTGTAAAGACTACCTCATTGTTTATTGTTTTCTATAAAGTATCAAGTAAATCTTTGTCTATTCCTAGATCAAGAAGATATTAGCCTACATTTTCTTATAAAAGTTTTATAGATTTGCTTTTACAATTTTTACTGTCATGAATCTTGAATTATATTTGTATATGATGAGGTAGCAGTCAAAGTTAATTCTTTTCAACTGATATATCTACTTGTTCTAGCACTATTTATTTATTTATTTATTTATTTTTGGTACTGGGGATCGAACTTGGGACCTTGTGCTTTCAACGTAGGAGTTGGAACTACTGAGCTAAATCCCCGGCGCTAGCACTGTTTATTTTTAAAAGACTATCTTTTGCATTGAATTACCTTGATGACTTTGTCAATAGTGAATTGTCCATATAAATATAGGTCTATATCTGAATTTCTATTCTATTCCATTGATCTATGTATCTAGTCTATTCTTATGTCAATGTCACATTGATGTAATAATTATAGATTGTCATTGTAAATCTTGATGTAAGGTAGTGTAAAGACTCCAACTTTTTCCCCTTTCTCTAAATTGTTTTGACTCTTCAAGGAAATCTCTAAATTTCCTAGTTTTAGATCATTAGGACATTCCACATTCAATTTCTATTTTACAAAAATGAAACTCCTTTGGGATTATGATGAGGATTGTACTAAAACGATCATTTTGGGGAAAACTGACATCTTAATTCTAAGTCTTCAGTTCACAAACAACCTACAACTTCACATTTATTTATATATTTAATATTGCTCAGTAATATTTTGTGTTTTCAGTATTGAAGTTTTTCCTTCTTTAATTAAATTTGTTTCTAGGCATTTTTATGCTTTTGACAACATTATAAATGGAATTGGTCTTTTAATTATCAGTTTTCAATTGTTTGGTACAAATATATAGAAGTAAATTGATTTTTGTAACTTGATCTTTTTTCAAAAGTATTTCAATGGGATCAGAAAGAAGGGGATGTGATAGGTGCAATGAATTAGTCTGCTCTTGAACAGGAAGAGGGGAAATGAACAGAAAGAAAATTGACATGCATTGAGGTTTCTATCTGGAAACCACTCCGCTGGACATTTTCCATACTTAATTTTCACAACAACTATGTGAAGTCAGATCTGATTGATGTTTTACAGATAAGGACATAGATGCCCTGAGACATCATAGGTAACAAGTGGCAGCCAGATTTCACCCACATCTGTTGAGTTCCAAAGCCCATACTCTTCCCAGCTCATGGTGATGCCACAATGCCAGTATGTTGAGTGCTCACAAAGTTAATCCATGGAGAGGTGACAGCTATACCAAAGCTGTGTCACCTCCATCTCCTACCCAGCTCCTACAGCCAGGAGATTTGTGATACCTGGAAGTCAGCACAGGGCTGAAGTTCTTCCATCCAGTGCTTCTGGAGCTCAAGCTGCTGTGAGCCCATAGGCACAGATGCAATATCCAGAGCACAGCAGACCAAGGACACCAGGAAATGACCCTCAGGTCTGACCACATTGCGGAGAGCCAAAGCAGAGATAGCAGAGCCTGTGTGAGACCAGTTGTGACTTTCCCAGGGCCTCCCTGGCCCAGGCAGTTTGTGGCAAGTTGGCACAACTGTGAGGATCAGTTTCCACATTGTAACTGGAAAGGTGCACCTGAAGCCAGAGAGGATGATACACAGAGAAGAGAAGAGAAAACCTGAGAAGAGAAAGGTTCCCTTCAGCCTGGGTTCCTCACACTTGCCCAATGTGAGCACCACTTTGGGGCTATTTTTCCAATGCAGATCCCAAACAACCTCCCCAGTTTTTTATTCAGTAGATCTGAGGTTTAGCTCAGGAATCTACATTCTTTTTTTTTTTTTTTTTTTCTGCTTTAATTGTTTGATATAAT